ATTTTCAGTTTTACTGGCTATAGTAATTCAGTTCTAGCTTTTTTAGTAATTCCTTTCATCATCCATCCATCCTATCTCTCAATTTGACTCTTCATAACAGCCTAACTTATTATTAAGGCTTCTTATTCTCACTAAAATAAATTTGTTTTCTCAAATTTTTTATTTTAGAATATATTTTCTTTTGATTTACAATGTTTGTTCTCAGTTTTGCTTTTTCTTTGGTAAAAAATGTACTTATATTCATTTCATACATTGCTTTTAATTTACATAGTAGTATTTCGTATTTTATACTACAATGAAAATCGTTTAACATGAAACTGAGGGGACTGAAATATTTTTTTCGTGTTAAAGGATATTGGAAAAAAAATATATTCAACAATATTTAAGTTTATTAGAGTACATAGATATGTATATATGCATGTATATATTATATAGATATGTATTATGCATGTATTTAATAAAAATGAATAAAACGAAAATATAATGAAATTTCATACAAAATTTTCAAGATTTATGAAAAACAAAACATTTATTGAGTTTTTGGAAAACGAACTGCTATTTTTCTTTGCATTGTCCTTTTTAGCATCAAATTGTTAACAAATTTTTCAACGTCGTCCATTTTGTTATCCGTTTCAACATTGGAATGTGCGTCTAAATAGCTACGCATACTTTTTATGATGTTCCTCATTTCAGATGACGTGGGAACAGAAGCTGCATTATTCATTTCATTTTCATTGTTGGAATCTGCATCAATGGTATTTTTTGAGCTTTGAACAAACTCCAAAATGTCTTTGTCTGCCAATTGGGGATGTACACACATTATCATTATCTACTGCAACGAATTCTTCAGATAATACAGTAGGACAGTCCAATAATACGGGAACTTTCTTAAACATTTCATTTAAGTGTAGGCTCAGTTACAATATCCTTCTCCACTTTTTTTGGCATGAAAGAATCGGGTACTTTTGATAATTGTGCATGACAAAAACAATTTTCAATCACCCTTGGAGTCGCTGAATTCCATGCAGAGTGCAACATATTTTTACTGATTACATATATCACTGATTTTTACTCACACTACGATGTACTTGTCACCGAGTTCCAACCGAGTGTGGCATTTGTAGGGGTGGAGAGGGAAAGAAGCTGAGATAACCAAAACTGGCTCGTGTCCAAGAGTATTTCAAAGCCAAGTTAGCCTCCTTTCTATGAAACATGTGAAACCGCCTCTCTTTCATTTCACACCCCCTCTTGAATCTCAGCTGCGAGGCCACTGTTTTCTTATTTTGTTCATTCCCAGATAGGAAATCTTTTCATGTAAAGCAATTTTTATTTCGTGTTAAAGGAAACAAAATGTATGAAAATACATATTAGTTTGTTGGGACCATTGTACTATTTCATATTAACCAATATTTCATCTTAAGCATTTTTGCGTTAAACATATTTCACTGTATTTGTTTGTATCTTTTGTTTTAGGGTCATACGGAGCAGACTATATCTTATTATTTTATACTTTATAGCATTTTTATTATTCTTTAATTAGTTTTTTAAATTCAATTTTTTTGCCACTTTTTTTTAAATTTTCTTTTTGAATTATTTCAAGACGTTATAATCATTAGCTATATTTCAAATGTGGCTCTGTCGAAAATTCTTTTGCTGCACTATGAAAAATACCAAAGATTCTAAACAATTTGTTACATTATTTTTAATATGTTGTTTTATCGAGTTGTTTTGTTTATTGTTTTAAATGTACTACCCGCTGGAATTGTTCACTTCTTTTTTGATTTATTATCTCTTGGTTAAGCATCGTTCTTATGATCAGTTAAAAATTCCAAGCATTTTTAAAAAATGTCAACACTTGCTACTTGACCAACCACTTCAGGTCAAGCCCTGTTTTAAATTTGAAAAGACCTTAGGTTAACTAATTATCAACCACCACAATGTAATAGAAGATAGCATTTGTAATTGCAAGCTTCCTGCTTACAATAAATATGTAGATCCGTTTCACCAGCATATTGTTACAGGAGATCTCAATATCATTGAAGATGAGCAATTGCGTGAAATTATGCAACTTGGCACCAAGTTTTGTTCAACTTTCAGTATTAATCAGCACTTTTGCTTTAAACAATTTAGTAATGATCTTGATAAATTTATAATTTTAGCTAGTAATAGAACCAACTTGCCTACAACTACTTTTCTAGAATGGAAAGCTGCACTAATTAAAGAATTTCAGCTTATGGTTTTCGAGTTACCCAATTTCAATTATTTACACAATAACATGCATCTAGAAACTCTTATTCAGAAACAGCAAGATAACTTTATCATCACAAAGATTGACAAAGCTAGCAACAATTTTAGTGTCATTTGAAAAAACGTTTTATTTCAACCTTCTACATAAAAACTGGATAGTGCTTGAACCTATCAAAATATCACTACCAGTGCTAAGATTCTTCTCAATAAATTTAATGCACTTCATAAAAAACCTAAAATCCATCCTCACAAATATAATAACAAATTTGCAAATCTATATGCACTTCTAAAATTTCGCAAGACTCCAGTTAAGTTTAGGTTCGTTACCAATAGTACCAAAAGTTATTTAAAGGAAATCGATTATCTCTTTGCACAAAAACTTCATCTCATACATGACTTCATAAATAATTATGATTTTAAAGATATATATTGCAACTGGATGATTTCAAGCAACGAACAAATTCTAATAACCTTAAATACACTTAAAATAGAACATATCCAATGCTACGACTTTGAAAAACCTCTATATTACTTTGCCACTTGAAGAAATTTATAAAAGTTTTCTTGCTCTTCCTGAATTATTTTCCCCAAATTTCTACAATATTAAATGCTCAAAAATGGCAACTTTTTCTTTCAAACATACTTTTCAGTAATTATGTTCAATTCAATAACAACATATTTAAACAAATACAGGGAATTCCTAAGGGAGGCAGTTTTTCAAGTGCTGTCTGTGAATTATTCCTTTTTTACAAAAGAATTGACTTTTATACGTTCACTCAAAAATGAAGATCATAAATTTTACCAACACATCTTTCAATATATTGATTATGTAATAGCCTTCAACAACTTCAACAAGATTGAAAATGCTAATATCTACCCTTCATGCCTTAAACTTAATATTACAAATACCGTGCAACATGATATAGTCTACCTTGATTTGCATATTATAGATTACAATTTTTTGAAATCTATGATAAATGAAGGGAATTCAACTTTACAAGACTTAAATTAACCAACTGGAATCCCAATATTTCTAAAAAAGTCATCCTCAATACAATTTACTCACAGCTGCTTAGAATTAAAAGAATCTGAAATACAACAAAACACCTTCAAGAAGAAGTACTGTACTTTGTCACAATATTGAAAAATTACCTAATTCCTCAAAAAGTAATTAAAAATACGTTAAAAAAGCTGGCATTAACCTTATTATTTTTTAGATTTTTTGAGTTAGATAATGAAATTTTATGCTTAAAGCCCTATGGGACGGTGTAAAGTGGATGGCTGATTCAGAAGATCTAATGTATAAATGTATAAATATTCCCTGTCACAGCATCTATTTTTCCTCTTAAAATTTGGCACAATACTTTTAATTCTATTCTTAAATAGATTTTAAACATTTGCTGGCCAATTCTATCCTGTCATTTAACTTATTTCGTTTCTGGCAGTTTGAACACCCTCTAGCTTGAAGAATTACAACTTTAATTAACAAATTGCTATTTTTCATTATTTCTGCTGACTTTGGTGGCCATTTTAGATAATAGTTTGTTGAAGTAGCCATTTTTTCTTTCACCCAGTACAATTTTCTTCAAACTCCATAGATTTGTTCAAACATTCATAGATGTGTTCAAAATGGCAAGACGCCATTTTGAACCTTTTTCGCTTATTTCAACACATTTTACCCCCCTTTGCACCGAGTCAGGTTTTTGCCAATGGTCAGTCACTTTATATTGGTTCTTTCCCAGTGATGTTTCCCCCCTCTTTCTACATCATCCTGTGAATTGGAAAGCAATAAGCATGCTCAGGGTTGATCCGCCCTTTTTGAGTTTCATCGCTAGCCAAAGAAGACGGCACTGCTCCAGGTTTGTTTTTAATAATATTTTTTCTCTAAAAAATTTCTAGGTCTTGGCAAGACCCTTGCTTCAATTCTTCTATTTTATTATCATTTCAGTTTTGAATTAAAAATAATTTTCGGTACTTTTACAAAGTATTAACTCTTTAAGCTAGCAGGTCCACCCATAAAATCTTGTATATTTTGACTAATAGCATATTGCTATTTATTTTATTCTGTACATCAGCATTTCCATGCCATTATTTATTCTCCTTATTACACCTTAATGTGTTTCTTCAAGCGGACGCATCAAGAAATTGGAACAGAGAATTGAGACTCAAGATTTTTTCAAAAGATTTTGGACAAAGTTTTATTTCAATTAATTTGATAAAAAGTGTTTCTCCCATACAGTTTCAATTGTCTGTTTCTGCGAAACGCGTGATGGAGTTGGCTTAGTTCAAAATTCATTAAAAAAATATTTCCCCTGACGTTCCTTAATGAACTTCGAATTGGGCTAATCGACCATTTACTGCTTCTTAATTTTTATTTTTATCTTGATTAATTAGTTAATACTTAACTATGTTTTAAATATACCTTAATTAATTTAGCATATTGCTTACTATTAGTATTGATTTTTACTTGTAAATAATCAAATGCCATATTTTTCTCTTTTAACACATTTCATTTCAACTTATTTTGCTTAAAGTTTTCACGGAACCACAGTATTTAAGCAGCTTTTTAGTGTTCGTACTAGAATTTATCTTTTAATTTATATATATATATATATATATATATAACAATTAATGTATTAGTGTGTTATATATATATAATTTTAGAAAGGATAACAAATTAAAAAAGACCTGGTTGGTCAAAAATTTTGCACATTGAACTGCATATATATACATTTTTCTTAATATTTTTTTAGGCTCTGCAGTGTTTGAAAATTGGTTCCCTTTCTAGAACGACTGCCAGCACTGGCATGAATATTCAGTCTTCCAGATCTCATGCAATTTTTACTCTTCATATCAAACAACAAAGAATGGTAAAATTAGGCAAGGTAATGAATGAAACTCTATTAGAATAGTCATCTATATCTTGTATAATTATTACGTTCATAATTTAATTTTTAGCAGCACAATAAACAAACATTCATACATTAATACATGTGTATTTCATTGTTTATAATATGTCTTTTTATATAAGTTTATATAAGTATTTTCAATAGTATGTGTATATCAATGATATGTTTGTGAAATTTGACATAATTGATTGATGAATATGAGTTTGAATGATTTCCTTGTTATCTGCATAAAGGAAATTAAGGAAATAACTTGAATTAAGTATTATTAGCTATGATAGCAATTTTATTAAAGAAGCCAAGTTCTTGGTAATATGAGACAAAATTAATAGATTGATTTTGAGCAAAAATAAAAAAAAAATTTGTGACTTAGAATTGAAGTTACAGGTTCTCAAGAAGAGATTCACGTTATGTTTTCAAAACCATCTGTTTGAGGCTAAGGAGTAAGACAATTAATATGAAACTTGATAGATATTATATTATGCATTTTAGGCATTGATACTTACATTTGTTAATTAATCAGATTATGTCAGTGTAATTAGTGCTGATATTCAAAGTCAAGATTTTTCTATTTTAGGTGGATGGTGTATGCCTACGTAGATTTTGTGAATACTGTCAGATAACCTAAAATATGGTTGCTTAACATTTTAGGAAAACAGTGTTTTTCATGTTTCCAGAAGTCTGATAATTTTTGGGATTTAGATTTGGTGTAGAATCTGGGTGTATTTTAGATTACTTCATAACATATTTTATGAAATTCTAATAAAAGCAGCATTAAGATTTTTAAATAATAAAAACAATCTAATAATTGTGCAGACTTGCCATCACTTCCGATTTCCAACCGTTCTCCCACCAATTCGATTTACATATTTTTCCCAACTTTCTCTTATTCTTAAAATTTCTCATGATTTTTATGTAACTTGACTTAATACTTCGTTATTTGCACCAAAAAAAGAAAAGTGATTTTGGGTATCTAAAAGCACTTGGTTTTCCTCTTTTATTACGTATGAAAGAAAACCAAAGCCATTTTATCAGTGAGAAATTATTTATGTGTGATTCTACTTTGTGAATGGCTACATTTGTTAAAAAAAATGGGTATAAAAAATAAATATTCAGTAACTGATATTGCAGCTATTTTTTGATGTTTTCAGGGGGAGAGAACCATTATTTTCAATGTCTTATAAATATCCAAGAATTTATTATTGTTTTTTTAGAAATCTGAAACACAGTAAAATGCTACTATATATATATTATTACTTTAAAATTACTGCACATTAGTGATTTTGAACAAGACCTTTTTAAGAAACATAAAACTTTTTAAGTGAAGTATTATTTTAGATAAGTATTAGACTTAATTAAACTTAGTATTGAATATAAAACATATTTAGTATTTTATATAATATCAATTGTATGTTTCTATTTCAAAGTCAAGTTTTAATTTCTGACATATGTTTGCTAGCATTACTTTTTAAAATAATTAAGTTATGGCTAACATAATTAAGTTATTATTTTAAAACACTTTTATTATAATATACATTCTTTTTTTATGCAGAATACTTTTGCGTCATTTACAGATACATAGTAATTCCCCCCCTTCATGTGTTGCAAAGTGCTGTATAACTTCAGTTATCCAGATTGCTTGTTTTTTCTAGATTATTTAAGCTTTTGAAAGACTTACTGATTTTAATGTTTTTATTGATTAAACTGTATAAAAGATAATACAGTGGCATGCATAATTTTTAAGTTACTATACAATTAATTTGAATGATTATGTAGAACCTGCAGATATATCTGTAAGTGTTCATGAAATATGTAGCTTACAAGCCTTTATGAAAAATAAAATTAGCACCTCACATAACGTATGATAACTCAGTTTAATTTTAATTAAAGACTAGTATGTTACATATTTTTTATGCAAATAAAAAAATAATTTCTCTTTTATTGCAGTAACAGTTAAAACAAGACTACATAGCTAGTAGTTTTTAGGCCCACAAATAAAAATTAATTCCATTGTTTCATTTTATTTGGAAAAGGAATTAGTTTTAGGCAAATAAAAAATAATTTCTTTCTTTAATTTTGCTGGGGGAAAAGAATGCTTCTTATTTTATTTCATAAAAAATGGAAATATTTTATGTTTTTACCTATCTAATTTTATGTTTAAATAAATTAGAGGCTAAAATCTCATCACTTGCATTACACTAAATATGTATTTGGCCTGTTGAAGCAGAAAATCTAGTTATTAGAATTTTTTGAATATCTGAATGGGTTCAACTTGATCTAAATTTCGTAATTCTTTCATTAAATACAGGGTTCGTACGGTCCTTAAGAGTTCTTAAAATTCCTTAAATTTTTTGGAATCAATTTTTGGTCCTTAAAAGTCCTTAATTTTGGCCAAAAATCAGTAGAAGGTCCTTAATTTTAGTCATTTGAAATTTCTATCTGTTTTTATGACTGCCATTTTGAGTGTGAATTAGCATTTTGGAGGAATATTTTCGGCGATTCACTGACGTATCTGGTTATCTTTTGAATGGGTTCATGGGTTGTAATTTGTTTCTATTTCTAATATTTACTCGAGTTTCATGGGATACTCGAGTTTCTAAGTCTTGCGTGAAACATCAGCATTTCGATCATTTTTAGTAATAAAGAGCTCTTAAACAATTTTTCCTTTCGGGGATGTGAATTCTTTTTTTAAACGGTTTCTAAATTTGGCGACTTGTCAAAATTTTGGCGATTTTATCATCTGTTTCTATAGAAAATTTTTAATTTTGAAATCAGAATTTTTCGACGATTTTTTTTAAACATCGTAACATTGATAAATTTCATTAAAATAATGGCAAAATATTGAAATTATATATAAAAAATAACATTAAAATAAACCATTTTTATTTTTTGCTGCTATATTTTAAAGTTTCATTTTGGCAACTTATTATACAATATTTTAAATCTGAAAAATAAACAAGGTATAATGCTATAAAGCACATTTTACAAAACAGCTCTTAGCAAAAGCACAATTAGGTATGTAATTAATTAAAAAGTCTTCTTTTTAATTTTTCATAGTAAGCTTTATCTATAAAATTAATTTTACACTTATTCTCTCCCCCCTTTTCTTTTCCGAAATATTTCTGGCTATTTGCTGTTACAGAATTGGTTGGGATAATTTTTCTTTAGTATTTTTTACATTGCAACTTGGAAAATTTAGAAGGATTTGAAGGCAAGATTTATAGACCCACGATTCTAGAAGATTCGAGAAATATGTGACAAAATGAAAAATGTCTCCATGGTATCAACGCGTAATGGATGTATTTTTCAGAAAGTTTGCGATGAATTTCTTACGTTTTGGAGAATGTCTGGAAGAACAATGAAGACATACTTATTTGAATGTTTTACTCCTGATACTAGAATCTTTTTTTTAACATGTTTATCTTCCCTTTATTTTCTCTACTTTTCACTAGACACAAGCATGGAAAATATCAAAAATGTTCTAATCTAATTACTTGGGAGAAAAAAGGAAAGATTATAGAACGGGATTTTTTATTAATAAAGAAATTAAAAACTTACAATTTAAAAGGTCCATCTAATATGTCTTAATGCATCATACACAGAGCTAGCACTAGGCATTTTCCCATTTGATGCAATCTCTGTAAATCCTAAATTCAACTGCATGGTACCTTTCTAAATTCTGCTACCTGTGCCTGCTCTAAATTATAAAAGTTTTGCCATTTCTAGATTTTATTGTTTGGTGTGTCACTAAATTCTAAAAATTCTGCCACACCAGCTCTGTAACCGACCTTTACCATATATATTTCATATTTCTTCTGAATTTCATATTACTAAAGAAATTAGTCTTTTTTTCTATACATTCTAAATATATTTAAAGTGTTTTTTTAGAAAAACAGAAATCTTTATTTAAACCCAAAAATTCTAAAATGAAAAGGAAACATGCTGAAGAAAGAAACTGAATACATAAAGAAAATTATTCTTCAAAGATATGTGCAGTTATTATTATGTAAATTACCCAATTTTTTATGATTTCAGCCTTTACTATAATTTTCCATTTCTGTTTCCTCATATGATAGGGTTACTGAGCCAGATTAAATTAAATTGTAATCTTTGACCACTAGTCATTTTTAGTTGAATTTGACTGTTCTTGCTTAATTACTCATCATGATGACTTGTTAGCATCAGAACATGCCTTTATGTCTAAGTCTTTTTAAATAAGAGGCTTATTTAAACCTTTGTCTGATATGTAGTTACTTTCAGACATAGTGATAATTTGCTTACATCTATCAGGGTTTTGGACTATTTAACTTTTACCAGATCAAGAAACCCTCATAGGTACATTGTGGAGTGGTTGACAAGTTAGGAGATAAAGCCTGCCAGAAAACTAGGAGAGCATTGGTTTGCATATTGAGGTTAGATGCTTAAAGAGAAGGAAATCAATATAAACTAGCCAAAATGTTGAGAAGGCTTCAAATTAAAATGACAGATAAATTTTGTTGTGTTGTTACAAAATGTTTGTAGCTTTTAGTGTTAAGAATAATTAATAAAATAATAATCGATGAATGTTTTGTTGTTTAATACAAAAAGTTTGTCTTTTAATAATATTTATGTATTAATATTCTTTAATTACATGTATTTTACTGAAAATTTATTAGATTATGAAATTTTATAGATTTGAATAGTGTTTTTTAACCAAATATTGTTAAAAAATAAAATTTAATAGTGGGCCATGTAAATCCATAATGATAAGGTTACTTATTACCTAATTATTATTTATAACTAACTGCTTACCCTTAAAAATATCCCACATATTAAAGCGAGTTATGCCTTTAATACTCACTGTGGTCACAAATAAAACACAAAAAAGTAGAAATTCAAGTAAAACTTATTCTTTGCATCTAATGAGACTTAAAATAATCAAAAAACAACTTATCATCTGGTGCTTGAATGGCTTATTGGAACCTGAAAGTATATTAACTGGGTTACAACCCTGGAATTCTGTACAAAGCTATGACACTAACTGCATCAAACAGAGCCTGACTAACTTTCGACGCTTGCTAACCGTGCCTACATCAGGTCTTTCAAGTTTGTTCTAATCAGCAGGTCTTTCTCTAGACAGCAGCGGTGATAATATTGTCTTATTATGAATCATGTTGATTATGATCTTACTTTTCATTTTAACCTATGTCTTTTGACATAAAATCTACCTGCTATTTACTAAACCTCTAGACCCGCAGTTCTCAACCTTTACGTGTACCATCTAAACAAAAATTGAAAACCTTTAGTACCACCACTACAAAAAGTATGACCACCACCAATCTTGAACAAAGCGGGAGATCACATAAATTTATGAGTGGTAGAAAAAGGAACTCGATCAGGATGTTGGGATTTTAATTTTTGAAATAAATAGTTAAAAATACTTTGCTTCTTTGTGTACCACCTATTTTTTTCTTGTGTACCACCAGTGGCACACGTACCACCGGTTGAGCACCTCTGCTCTAGACTGATCAAGTATGTGACAAAATGAGACATAAAAATCAACATAAAGCTAAGTATTAATAAAACGTAAATGTCACTTATCTTCTTTCAAATATGTCCAACCTATTATAGGTAAAATATTAATGCTATTTGAGAAACTGCATGAAGTTTATTTATTCTCAAACTTATTAATAATTATGTTAATGAATTCATGTTAGTAATAATGCATACTACTTAGGGATCAATTTTATTTTTAGGATGATATTACAAAAGTGAAATTCAAGCCTAGAATAATATTTTTAATTGAATTTATTCAGTTCCCATTTGCTCATAGGTCCTTAATTCTTTTCATTAATGGTCCTTAAAAGTCCTTAAAAGTATTTAATTTCCTTGCGCAGAAATGTGTACGAACCCTGAAATAGGAATATGTTAATGTGTTCAAATGCAAGCAAAATACTGTATTTTTGGAAAGAATATTACATATTTAACATGGCTAAAAGAAATTAAAAAGTGAGTAAATGTAAGCTCTTATTAGCAATCAAAGCAGATATATTTTTTATAATTAGTTTATAATATTTATCTATATTTCCAATTGCCAGGTAAAAATCATGTGTAGTATGAAATGTTAGTGTATGGTTTTGTCCTTTTTAAGGCATAAATTGCAAAAATATAAGGTTCTTTGGTTGAAAAATATAATTCTTTCCCATAAAAAATTGAGTTATAATATGCAAATTGAAAAATTGAGGAGACCTTGTTCCTAGGAAAAAAGTGTCCTTAATGCCTTCATAATGATGATTTATTATAATGAATATAAATGTAATACTCATAGATCCAAAAATGGTAAATATTTATTTCAAATTGTTGGATTTTTTCTATAGTCAATGTCTGCTGACACATGTAATTCAGAGTTACATGAGCACAAGGAATCACTTAAAGAATTTGAAACACTGACAGCAAAGTTCCATTTTGTAGACTTGGCTGGTTCAGAGCGTCTAAAACGAACTGGTGCTGTTGGTGAAAGGCAGAAAGAAAGCATCTCTATCAATTCTGGTCTGGTAAGCAGTATTATTTTTTAAAGAAAATACTTTTGTAAAGAAATTTATTAAAGGAATTTCTCTATAATATAAACAAATAAACTAAAAGGAAAATGAGCTTTTAGTTATAGTAATCATAATGAATTCAAGACATTTTAGGTTGATATGTAAGGTTTTTTTTTTTTTTTTTTTTTTTTACATTCAGATGCTAATTAATGTATGAAAGAGTTATATGGTAAATGTAATATATATAGTTAAATCTCCTTTCAACCAAACCATTTAAAAAGATTGAAGTTGAGTATTAACCCATAACTTCCGCGGAAAACGTACAAGATTCATTTCCCAGTGCCATGTTTTTTCACACAGACGTGCTTAGTTATGTGATGTGTTTGAGGGAAAATAAGTGCAAGTTCTACTTTCACAAAATAAAGGAAAAAATGAATGCTCAAAATTTAATGTTTTGAGTAAAAGTATAAGATAAAGATGCAAGTATAATAAAAATTTAAAAAATCCCTAAAATGGAGTTTCGATCAATTCATTTTTAGACCAGTAAAGTGTAATATCAGGTTTCAGTTTATACCTTGTAAAATCAGTATGCCTAAAAAAAACATATATTTCTTCTGAACTGGTTGAATGCAACGATTTTGTTCTTGATTTTTCGTTTGCAAGGTGTTGGTTCATATACTCGTCTACAAAGTGGTTAGTTTCAGTAACAATATGAAGCATGAGCAGTTCATCAAAAAATAATTCTAAAAAGGTAAATGGGTTTGTAACTTCCGTTATATCTTTATTTATACTTGAAACCTATTACAAAAAGTAAACGAAAATGAAGTACACAGAATAGAAGGGAAAAAAAAAAAGAATACGTTTTACTCAAACAACATCAGCCAATACCGTGCAGTCTGTAAGAAATTTTATGTAGAAATATTTTTTAATAGCTAAAGAAGGCATAAATCTTTCATGATGTTATACTGCTTGTTCTTGGATCTGGCAGTGCCAGTTGAATGTGTGTTGGACGTGAATAAACTTGTCAGTTTTGAAACTTGATTCATAATGTTCATTTACCTTGTTGTTGTGTGTGATTTGAATTAGTGTTTCTTGAACCAGGATAACTTGAAATCTGCTTACGACGTGCTTATCTGTGCTTACGACGGGGCATGAAAGAACATCATTTACGTGTGTGTTAGCTTGTGCCGCAAACGGTGACAAGCTAAAGCCGATGATCATTTTTAAACGGAAAACTATTCCGAAGGGAGATTTTCCTAATGACGTAATTATTTGTGCAAACGAGAACGGCTGGATGTGCGAAACAATCATGCTTGAGTGGCTACAAAATGTTTGGCAGTATCGTAAGGGATCTTTTTTCCAACCAAAAGGGTTATTGATAATGGATTCCATGCATGCGCATTTACTTGAGTCAGTGAAAACCAGATGTCGGCCGTAGCAATAATTCCTGGTGGTTTGACAAAAATTTTACAACCATTAGATTTGTCAGGTAATAAATTTTTCAAAGCTGAAGTCCGAAAGTGGTGGGAGTGTTGGATGAGTGAAGGATTGCATACGTATACCACAAGCGGCAAAATGCGTAGAGCATCTTATGAAGAAGGTTGCAAAGTGGGTAGGAAGTGCGTGGAAATTGGTAAAAATCATCGTTAGTAATAGTAGCAGGGTTCAAAGAAGCTGAAATTATATCCTTTAGATAAAGAGACTGTAAACCAAGAGGATGAATGTGACGATCTGGAAGACATGAACTTAGATCATGATTTACTAAATCTTTTTAATTCAGAATAGTGAAGAAATCAGATTTTGATAACTTCATATGATGTATAGTTTGCTGTAATTCCTTTCGTAAGTAAAATTAAAAATTTCCTTTTGTAATCCAAATTTAATAGTTCGTTGTTGCAACATTTTTTATAATATAGTCGGAGTATTACAAATATGGACTTCTTTAGTGGATATATATAAGTATATTCGTGAACGCAAATATATTTTCAACAATTCTTACCTTTAATTTATTTTTGAGTTATGATTTCATTTCCTGCATTTTTCTTAACTTATATGTAATATATCAAGACATAGGTTGGGATTTTGCATTTATATGGCCGACGACAATGTCACGCACAATTAAATCTATTGCGGCGTTTAAGCGGATGCGGCGTTTCTGTGTAATTTTAATTTTTTTCCCACCATTTTTCTCGAGTGCGGCGTTTACGCTGATGCGGCCTTTCTTCTGGAAATTACGGTAATTATTGGATTATATAACAGTTAACTTAGTTTCCGTTATATAATTATTATATAAGTCAACTGTTATATAATTATTAATACTGTTAAGTGAATCTAGCGCCAGAGTGTCGCTATGGTAATCAAATACTAGAGTGAATTTTAAAGAATGCATTTATTCTATTGTGGATTATGCACTGTCGGCGAAGTAGATTTAATTCAATCCAATAAGTTTAAATGAAATGAAAAAATGTGTATAATTTAATATTCCAATACAAAGAAGTCATGTGGTGTACACATCAGATTTTTTTATTTAGAATGCAGTGTTTTTACGTGTTAGTGAAAAATTATTCCTCGCCACTGAACGTGGCAAGATAAATGTTCAGAATACTAGTGAATGTGCTTCACCACGAAAGTGAGTTACTAAATTAGGATTAAACTATTTGAAGACTGCACAGGTAATAGAATAAAATTACTTTTGTTATTATTATGGCAGACGATATTGTTAAATTGAAAGCTACTAGAAAAACTATGAGACAAGCTATTGCTAAAATAATAAATGTTGTAGAACCTGAAATTAAAAAAGACATTTGAGATAAGAATATGGTAGAAGAAAATGTGTTTTTACTTACTTCTAAACAGTCTGCGTTGAAAGAAATTAATGAAAAATATGGATTGTGTTAAAGGGGATGAGTCTGAAATTGAGAAAGAATGTAATACTGTATTCAGAGTATGATGAAAATATGAGTTTATGAATTTTTAGGGCTAAAAGAAGCTTAATTTAAGTTTCAGACGTGAAGCATTAAAAATGAATCGCCTGGTAACCATACTGCTGCCATAAAGTCGAAAACAAACTAACATTCGGTTACCTAAAATTTCAATTCCTAAATATTATGGTGATCCTAGTTTATTTTTGGAATTTTATAATTCTTTTGAAATGCTATTGGTAATAATAATGAGTAAACAAAGGTAGAGAAGTTTACCTATCTTAAATCCTTACTCGCAGGACCTGCTTTAAGTGCAGTATCTGGGTTTGCACTATCTAATGAAAATTATGACTCATCTATAAGTTTAATTAAAGAAAGATTTGGACGAACAGATTTGGTAATATCTTCGCACATGAATAAACTCTTGAATCTTGAACCGGTTAGAAGTTTGTCCAATGTGAAAGCACTAAGAACACTTTACGATTCCTGTAAAATCAATATAAGAAGTTTAAATTTATTAGGTATTGTGTCGGAAGCTTACGGGACCCTTTTAGGACCTGTTATTTTAAAGCTTTTACCAGACGATATGAATCTAGAGTTTAATAGAAAAAGAAACTCTAAACAGCAATATAGCCTAACATAACTTCTCGAATTCATTAGATTGGAAGTTGAGAGTCGGGAAGCTTCTAATTTAATAATAAACTCAAAGAAATGAGTCACAAATTAAGGTGTTAAGCAGAATAAAAATAATTACTTAAAAGGGGCAAGCGTTCCTACTGCTTTGGCGTTAGCCACAGTGACTAAGACGTGTTGTTTCTATTGTAATGAAAATACACATGATGTAGGAATACGTGAGAAAACAAACGGCCAAAAAAGAGTGATATTAAAAAACCATGGACGTTGTTACAGATGTGTAAGAGAGGCCATGTATCTTCCAGATGTAAAATGAAACTTCAGCCTTGTGAGTTGTGTAATGGTTTCAATCATAATAAGTTATTTTATAAAAATATTGTTCCTGAAGTGGAAGCAGTTTCAGATGTTAAACAGAAAGTAGTTACAGTATCAGATTCTAAGCAGAATGTAGTTGCATCCCTGTCGTTTAACTCTAAGACTATTATTTCTGAAACTGCTGATAAAGGTGTATATTTACAAACTTGCACAGTTTACGCTTCAGATACAGATAATACTAGAAACCAAATAGTAAAAATCTTAATTGATGGTGGATCACAGAGATCATTTGTTAGATCTGATTTGGCTAAAGAACTAAAATTAAGGATTTTAAGGAAAGAAAGGTTATATATCTATTCCTTTGGGTATATCCAGTGTAGACTAATGGAATATAATGTTGTTCAAATTACCCTGAAAAGTATACATTGCCCTAATGACTCAATCACTGTTGAAGCTCTTGTTACGGATACAATTTCTGGAGCGATCATAAAAATTCCCTCCAAAAACATTTTAGAAATATTAAAATAAAAAAAATCTAAAATTAGCCGATAATGGTGAAGTAGTTGAAATAAAAATATTGTTAGGATCTGATTCATGTTGGAAAGTGCAAACAGGTGAAAAGAAAAGAGTAAGTAGTAAATTATTTGCAGTTTCTTCTATATTTGGTTGGTCCTTGGTTGGATCTTTAAAAGGTGATCAGTTTAGTGCCTGTATTTTTACAACTGGTACTTCTCACTGCTTGAAGGATGATAATAATTCAGTTAATGACTGTTTGTGAAGGTTTTGGACTTTGGACCACTTGGGTTTAGAGGAGAAGGAGAATCCTGACGATAAATCAGTCATTGAGAAATTTGAAAAAGAACTACATTTTACTAATGGTAGATATGTAGCTCGTTTGTTATGGAAATCACATCATGAAAACTTAGGTAATAATTTAGAAAATGCCAAGCGACGTCTAGTATCTTTGGTTAATAAACTAAAAAATGAGGAATGGCTAAAAGAGAATTATGATAGCATAATAAACGAACAGTTAAAAAATGAAATAACTGAAAAGTGCAAAATTGAATGTTGTGACAGTAGTAAAATGTATTATATGCCACATTCTCCAGTGGTAAGAAAAAATGTATCAAAAACTGAAGTCCGTATCGTGTTTGATGCATCTTTGAAGTGTAATGGGGTATCTCTGAACAATTGTTTGATGCCTGGCCCAAATTTGAATCCTTCTGTTTCGGACTTGATATTGTGGTTCAGACAATACAAACATGCGTTCTCAGCAGGCCTTTCTCCAGATTGGAATCTCTGAAATTGATAGAGATGTATTACGGTTTTTATACTTTGATAATAATTACAATTTGAAACGTTATAAAATGACTCGCGTTCCTTTCGGTGTATCATGTAGCCCTTTCACTCTGGCATGCACTATAAAAAAGCATATAAAGAAAATAGAGTTAGAAAATCCAGATATTTTCGAGATGCTGAACTGTTTGATCTACGTAGATGATGTTTTCTATGGGGCAGATTCTGTGGAACAGGCTTTTGAGTTAAGTACTGGAGCCTATTGCATGCTTAAAGATGCCGGAATGAATTTACGTCAGTTTTATACAAATTCAGAGAAACTAAAAAAACTTTGGAATAATTGTGGAATAATTAAATCAGGAAATGAAGTAAATAGCTCCTTAAAAGTATTAGGGCTTAACTGGTGTACGAGTAAAGATGCAATTTGCTTGAACATAGATGACTTGTGAGAAACATTAAATAGTTGTAGAAAAACCACAAAGAGAAATATATTAAAGGTGACGGCTACTATTTTCGATCCAGTAGGTTTCTTGGCGCCATTTGTATTACGTGCAAAATTGATAATGCAAAACCTTTGGCAGTTGGGTTTAGAATTTGATGATGAAGTTCCAACTGAATGTAAGCAGTTGTGGTTCCGAGTGGAGCGGTGAAATAACGAAAAATTAAAGAAATTTGAAATTTCTCAAGAATATTTCCATCCCAGGCAAATTGAAGCAAAATAAAGATACCTGAACTGCATTTATTTTGTGATGCATCTATTAAAGCAAATGGTTCAGTTGCATATTTTAGATCGGTTGAAGAAGAGCAGGTAGTATTCATTATGGCAAAATCTAGAATTGCACCAATAAAACAAAAACTCACACTTCCAAGGTTAGAATTGTTAGAAGCATGCTAAAAATTTAAAAGAGCTGTTTTCAATTCATGAAGATAATATTTATCTGTAGACTGACAGTATGGTAGTGGTTTACTGGATTCATAGTGCTCCTGAACGATGGAAAATGTTTGTAAAAAACTGAGTATCTGAAATACAATTCATTAACTTGCCCAAATAACTAGAGACATTGTAATGGGAAATTCAATCCAGCGGACATTTTATCTCGAGGATGTTAAGTGGAATATTTGTTGTCTTCAAGATTATGGACAGTCTGTACCAGATTGGTTAGTTGAATCAGTGAGTGGCCTAGTAAATTTATTCGCAACGACAATGGAGTTTTCTGATGCTGAATTAGAGCGGAAAAAGTGTATGAATAATACCACAATACTACCTGTCTATGCAGAAATCTAGTTCTCTGTTGAATCTTGAAAATTACAGTAAATTGATTAGAGCTATTAGAGTGACTGCATGGATATTTAGATTTATTCACAATCTGAAAAATAAAACTGACAAGAAAACTGGATCCTTGATAGCAGAAGAACTCTTTGCCGCAGAATTATATTTGATAAAAGATGCTCAATATGAACATTTCGCTGATGAAGTTAATAGTTTAAAGTCTGGACAGTTGATTTCAAAAACCTCAAACATTTATGAATTAAATCCCTTTCTAAGTGAGGAAAGAGTTTTGTTGTTAGTAGGGGGAAGACTACAAAAATCAACTTTAAGTTTTCATGAAAAGCATCCTATAATTATTCCTTCAAAAACTCATTTTACAGATCTTCTGGTACGTGATGCACACGAACAAGTTCTTCATACAGGTGTAGCTAGTACTCTCATGTTCCTCCATAAAAAATACTGGATAATTAGATTTACTTGCGCTGTAACTAGAGGCATTCATCTTGAACTAACAAAAGATCTCGCAACTAAATCTTTCCTACTTGCTTTCGTGCTCTTGAATATACTCAGATAACGTGCATACGTTCAAGGCAGCTGATGCAGAGCTAAAAAAGATGTGGCAGGTATTAAGCCATCCCGATGTAAAGAATTATTATGCAGCAAAGGACATTCAATGGAGGTATATAATTGAAAGAGGAGCCTGGTGGGGTGGATTTTACGAGAGACTTGCGCGATCCGTCAAAACAATATTAAGAAAAATTCTTGGTAGAACATCACTGCTACCTGAAGAATTGGAAACTGTACTGATTGAAATTGAGGCGGTGATGAATCGTCGACCCTTGACTTACGTCCAAGATAAAAAGCCCCAAGTTCTGTCACCTGCTCATTTTCTGCTAGGGAAGAAACTTGCTAATTTCCCTCCTGTCATGTACACTCATGAAGTGTGCAGTACTAAAGAAATTCTTTTAAAAGCGCATCTATATCATGAAAAATTATTAAATAACTTTTGGAGAATCTTTTATAAAGATTATTTGTTGAATGTAAAATCTCTAAATTGTGTGAACAATCACCGTGCAAAGCACGACTTGAGTGTGAATGATATCGTGATAATACATGATGAACATTTACCACGTAACATCTGGAGATTAGGAAAAGTTCTCAAACTATTTACTGGTAGAGATATATTAATTCGCAGTTAGTGCAATTAAGACTGAAAAAGGGCACTATAAAGAGACCTTTGCAGTTATTAGTTAAGTTAGAATACTAAGAGTATTAATATTGCATGGGATAGTATATTTCTTACTGAAAATGTAATTAATGTACTAATGTTGCATCTATTTTATTCAATGCTAAAGTAATTTAATATTTAAAGAAATGTATGTATTAGAAAATTTTCAGGTTGTAGAAATGTATAAGTGTATTTAAAATTTAATTTAATTCTGAAGGAAAAAAAAAAAAAAAAAAAAAGACAGGTTTCTTGTAATAATTCTAGTATTTTAGTTGGATTATAGAAATGTTATTTGTTTAATATCTTGAGTTATATAAATTCTTGATTTAAATCCTGATGCTTGAGCAGGAATGTTATAACAATAATCCTTGATGAATAAAAATTTACTTGATATTCTTGAAACATACGGTAAGTTTTACATGTTCTTGATGTTTATGTGACATTTCTTGATTACAAAAACTTGAATTTGTATTAAAATGCATAATGATTCTAGAAAATAATTCTTGAAAATGTTCATGTAACACTGATAATTTTGATTATTCTGAAGTACTGTTCAACCGGGCCCAGCGTGTAAGAAATTTTATGTGGAAATATATTTTAATTGCCAAAGAGGACGTAAATCTTTCATGATGTGATACTTCTTGTTCTTCGATCTGGCAGTGCCAGTTGAATGTGTGTTGGACGTGAATAAACTTGGCAGTTTTGAAACCTGATTCATAATGTTCATTTACCTTGGCGTTATGTGTGATTTGAATGAGTGTTTCTTGAACCAGGATAACTTGAAATCTTGACGGTTAGTATAATATTTTATACAGTCATTACTTTCACCGCTTTAGACACACCTCTCTCTCCAGTTTCTTCCCACCCTTCTCTGAAATAGTATCCTCCTTCACATACTTTGTCAAGGTCATTGTGGTGTTGCATTCCAAAGTTTTGCGAATAATTTTACGGATAGCAACGCAAAGCAAATGATAGTATTTTGGAAGGGCATATATATACGCCCGGGGCAGTTAACGCATCGGCTGAGCAAGGCGTATACATACGCCCGCGGCAGTTAAGGGGCTAAGAAGAGCGAGAACTTTCTTATCATTTGTAATTTATTCCAAAGAAGAATTTGTTGTGTTTTCAATTTGTTAAGAAAGTTGTAAGTTGAAACATTGTTTTCATGCTGTTAAAATTCAGTTTTAGGATTAAAAGTATACTGATAAGTACTTGGAAAAAAAAAAAAAAAAAAAAAGGAAGTAGAAAGAATTAGACAGTAAAATAAATTGTTTAAATAAAAAATGCATGTTTTCGAATTTTCAGCTTGCATTAGGTAATGTTATATCTGCCCTTGGGGATAAATCAAGGAAAGCCACTCACGTACCCTATAGGGATTCAAAGCTGACCAGGCTGTTACAAGATTCTCTTGGTGGAAATAGGTAATCTTTAAATCGTCATGCTATTATTTTTTCAGTTTATTGTCTTTTTTTTGCTTTCAAAAATTTTTGGTAATAAATGTGAATTTTTAATATATTTTTTAAATGTTTCATTATACTCAATAGCAGATTTAATAGGAACAGTGGAATACAGTTTTATTGTTTGTAATCTAATTTCATAATCCATTTACAAGAGTGATTGTTTCCTAGATGTAGCTGGACTTCTGAATTTTTAAACTTTTGAAATCTAGAATTTCAGGATTTGTGTAATGTATTTATCTTTTTCATATTATTTTTAAAGAAAATATCATTTAGAGTTTGTATAAGTTTAAAACTTTTAGATTATTGAGGAATGTTAGAAGCTGAAGTATTCAGGCTAAAATAAGATAGAAAACAGAAATACCCATTATTGATAAAACTGATTAAATCTGTCCAAATTTGCTTCCATGTACCTGTTGCTGAAAGTTCAATTAATTTGTGATTGATATATAATGACACTGTAGAACCTTCTTGAAGACTGATAACCTAGATGTGCAGACCATGGGACATTATTTATTCTCATTATATCAAAATACATGGGAAGCTTTTGGGTTACAAGTTCTTTGTGAATAGCTTATTGGTTAAGATTTTAGAAATAATTTAGTGTTGAAATAAGCAGTAAGGAAATTAGAATATACCTTACTAACTTCTTTGTTGCTGAACAGTTTACCAAATCAATGAATCATTCTCTTCCTTTACCAAATCGATGAACCATTCTCTTCCTTTTAGAAATTCCTCATCTTCAACATCTGTTAATATGCATACTTTAAGTTCTAATTTAAATCTAAAAGATTAAGTGAAAAGCCAAAATATCAAAGTGCTTTACTGAATTTTCAGTTGATAACAAAAATAAAATATTAATGCTGCAGTGTAAAAAAATTAAACCCCCATCAAACAGAAAACAAGCTAAACACAGCAGTTATTTTTAAAATATTGAGAAACCAAAAAAGTAGGTAGCAGCACAAAATAATGTAGTGAAACGATTGAAAAAACAGAGATTTGAATGCAAATCAAACTACTAGTTTTCAGCGAACTTATCCACTCAGCCACTCATGGACATTAAACAAGTATGATAGCAGCATTTCTGCTGAACTAAAGAAGCTCTTTGTTGCACTTTTTGTGATTTTAATTGAAGATTTTTCTTGTTCTTTTCATTTGGGAATATACTCTTAAGTCTCAAACAAAATCTCTAGGGAAATTTGCATCAGTGTGCAGTTTATCGTCATTAATATTTCTTCAGTTCTTATCAAAATAAATGTATTATTTCTGCAGTAAAATGCAATGTACTGAAATTAATTTCCCCTCAAATGCCCAGTGGACAGTTTGGTTGAATTTTTACTCATTTACTGATGTAATAGTTCGCTGAATTTTTTTTTTTTTTTTTTTCTTTCTCGAACATGTTGTCCCAGTAAAAAAATTATCATTACATTTTAAGATTTTATAAATGAATTATTTTTTTAAAATCTATATATTTAGATAAAATACATCAATGTTTTCAACATGCCTCAATTATGGAATATTTTGTTTTACTTTTCATCTTTGCCCTCCTTTTTCCTTCAACTGGCAGTTCTTGGCAAAAGAAGCTCTACCTGCTTTTGCAAGAAAAGTTTTTATTAATTCTTTGCATATGAGCTTACCTTTATATATCATGATTAACTATTAATTCATTTACCTTATGTTTCATTGTATAAGTTGAGAATTTTTATGGGAGTCAGCTTATATATGGATCTGCCAATCTTAAAAAAAATGTAGGTATTTTTCTGGTAGCCAAGCTAAGTGACAAATCGCTAAAAATACTGTTGTTAAAATTTTCAGCTAAAGCGGTCATGTGTGATTTGAAACTTTATAAGAATTTTTCTTCCTGCTTATCTTTCAGACAAAAGTAGCACAGAAAATAAGACTAACATTGATACTGCAGATCACATACAAGATAACAAATGGATGGAATAAATGTGCTAGCTTCATATAAGATTACCAGAGTTAAAACTATCATCATTGTTGTGTGATGTTTTACTTTACAGTGATTTGATCGAAAGTATTCCATTTATTTTGCCTGCTTGTCATTATTTTCCCTTCATGATGACATGTTTGAACAGTACAAGATTTTTTTTTTTCTTTTTTCCTTTTTCATTTCGACTAATATGCAAGTTTTGAGTAAACTTTTAAAGTAAAAAAACACTCTCAGCTTACACACGGATCGGCTTATATTTGGAAATGTGTGGTATTTTCCTTTTGAGCACTTGTACACATCTGTTCATACTCATTTTTATTTCACTCTCAGAAAAGAGTAATTTTTTTAACCTTTATTGTGTTTATTTCTTGCATTGTAAAATGAATAAAAGGGAATTAGATATCCAATATAATGTTCAAAATGCTACATATAGGTCATGTGGTCCTGGGGGGGGGACAAAATAATAAAGGCATAAAATGCATTTGTGTGTACAGCTACATATGAATAAAATACATATTTAATTGTATAAATATGAAACTAGTTCAAAAATTAATTTAAATATTTTGCTGCGATGAAGGAAAGTTGCCAGTTTTGTTATATGGCTACCATTATAGTTATTGTTACTATCTTTGCAATATTTTTCTTTAATAATTATTATTCAATTCATTATGCTTATTTATTATGCTAAAATGGTATTACGATACATGGGCAGCTATTTTTAGTTAGTCTAGTATTCAAACACGTAACATTTATTTTTTGTGGTTTTACAGTGACTTATGCCTGTTTTGCTTTTTTCAACATTTAGTAAGTTAATAAAATGTATTGATAAATATATCATCATAACATATTGAAAGGTGTCAACTTTTTGTAAACAATTGCAATATTTAATACCATTTTTAATGATTGTGTAAGTGATATCATATATGACAAATGTCTTAAGTTAGTTTTAAAAAATGAAATTGACAGGTTTAAAAAATTTACAAAAATATTCCAATTTTTCATTTTACATTTATTTTTTTAATAACATTTAAAATTGTAATTTATCAGTCTATATGACATTTTAATCAAATATAATAATGGGCTTTTTACATTATGTATTGTAAAACGAGCTATCCTAGTATCTTATATCCGGCCCTGTATCTGGTATTAGTGATTGTTTTGAATAACATAATTATGACAAATATTAAAATATTGCCACATGAATTATTGTTTTTTTATTTTTTATTTTGTTAGTCGGACATTAATGATTGCTTGTATTTCCCCATCTGATCGAGATTTTGTAGAGACTTTAAGCACTCTGAAATATGCTAACAGAGCTAAAAATATCAAGAATAAAGTAACTGCTAATAAAGACAAGTCCAGTCAAACTATTAGTGAACTTCTTAAGCAAGTAGAAAATCTCCAGATGGAATTGTTGGAATTCAAACAGGTTTGTAACTTTTAAATATAACTTTGAAATAATAATGAAATACGAGGGCTATCCAGAAAGTAGATTACGTTTTGGAATAAAAAAATAAACAAAGTATAGGAAACAAATTTTATTATATACAGATGAAAGCCACACTCAAATACTACTTTTCTACATAGTCACCATACAAATTAAGGCATTTATCGTAGCGATGTACGAGCTTGGAAATTCCTTCGTCGAAAAATTCGGCCGCCTGCGCCTTCAACCACTTCGTTACCTCTTCTTGCCTTCCATCTTGCACAAAACTTGTGGTAACCAAGCTTTTCGCTGATGATTTCGTGCAACAAACTTCGCGAAATTTGTGGAAAACTCAAAGAAAGTTCCGTTATTGTGAAATTTCGATTTTCACGGACTTTAGCATCGACTTTTTCGAGAAGTTCGGGCGGTCACTATGCTGGGTCTCCCACTTCGATCTTCGTCGTGAACATTGGTTCGGCCATTTTGAAATCTTATGACCCACTGACGCACTCCACCTTCAGTGATAATGTTGTCCCCATACACTTCACGAAGCTGCCGATAGATTTCTATCGGTTTACAGTTTTTTGCAGTCAGAAACCTTATTACTGAGCGCACCTCGCAGCTCGCGGGATTTTCAATTAACGCAGACATTTCAAACCGTCACAGTATCTGAACAGAGCACAGCACGAACCTCTCACTAGCACGGCTAGATGCAGACTGAGCTGCGCAACGCTCTGACCCCAGGATGGCCGCGCTAGCCCCGCCCCTAGCGGACACAGACGGAAACGTAATCTACTTCCTGGATGGCCCTCGTATGTCTCCTCAGCTTTGTATTAGTATGCAGTTTTTAATATTCATAATATTCAAAATTATAGTTTTAATTTTCTTAATTTTTCACATTTGAGATTTCATATTGTAAGAAGAAATGTTATTAATGCTATAGTGTGATTTTTTTAAAACTTTCAAAGCATTTTCATATTAATGTTAATTTTATTGATGTTTTTTGCAATAAACATAATATAAGTATTGTCTTTTTTTTTAAACTGTATTTCTATTTAACAATGCCTAAGCTGCTGAATTAAGAAACAGCATTTTATCTTGAAGATGGTATGGAAAAATAAGCAATTTTTCTTTTTTCTCTTTTCCTTTCTCTCTCTCTCTCTATATATATATATTAAGAGCACTTGTTTTTAATAATTTCTGTTGTGAAAAATTCATTATTCCTCTTTTTGTCCAGTTGCACTTTTTAAGTTCAAAAATATTAATATATGATAGGATTTACATAGTTGCCAGCTGTTCAAGTTTTACTGAGAAACTATCAGTTTTTCATCACATCTCATAATTTTTAATTTTTAGCCTTTGCTAAGGAAAACTTAGAAAAGTATTTCCCAGTGGTAAATGAAATTTAATGAGGTAATGAAACTTAAATTGTGTCAATTCCATTCCTAAACACTTACTAATTTTCTGAAATATTTTTCTTATTAAAGTTTATTAGATTCAAACTTTCTTAATCTTCTGTAGATATTTGCAGGACTTTTTATGAAAATTTAACCAATGTTTAACGAGTTTGTGTTTACTTTTACATCAATAATTGGGACAATACTAACTTTATCTACACGGTGTGTTCATTAGTGTTCAATTTGATTTTTCATTGATAAGCTTTGCTCTTGTATTTAGGATTTCCTCAATATAAAAGTGTAAGAAAATTACAAAACTTAACTAAAGAACATAATACTTAAAAAAGATAATTAAATATTAGCATATTTTGCATTACAATTGTGTTATAAATAGTTCTGTAACTTAAATCAGTCATTGTAAAGTGAATTTAAACCAATTTGGAGTTTATGAAAACATTCTGAAACTCCTGCCTTTCTTTCAAGAACTATCCAGTTTTTCATAATTGCCTTGTTTGCAGCTATGTATTCAGGTAGGTGAAATGAAGTATTCAGATAGGTGATTTCAGCTGCTAATGAATTATTTTAAATTTTTAACAAATTATTTATTAGTTATGCTATTCTCTAAATACAGGGGAAGAGACTAGTAGGAGAGGATGGTGTGGAATGTATTAATGACATGTATCATGAAAATACAATGTTGCAGTCTGAAAATAATTCTTTGAAGACTCGCATAAAAGCACTTCAGGAAACTGTTGATCGTCTAACTGCCAAAAATACTGCTTTGATAGTTGAAAAACAAAATGGTGAATGGATTCTAAATGGTAATCTCTTTTTATATTGCATGCATAATTTAGTGCATTATATAATGTGTAGTATTGAATGTTCTTCGAAATAGGTGCTGTATAATTAAGTGCATCTCAAAATAAATTAGGTAACCTGTGTTACCCATTATGCATTTGATTGTGTACCAGCTAAGGCCTAAAGAAATAGAGACCTTTTTAGAAAGATTAGACATTTTTCTTAAATTTGCAAAAGACCGCAGATTTAAGAGTAATGTGTCAATTTTTTAAGTCATGGTTAATGTGTAGTTAGAAACTGATATAATTTATTGATTATGTAAATGTCATTACTATTTTTGCATCATAATGTTTTTCTCTGAACTGTAACATTACAGTATCTGTTTTATAGTCAATGGTTTTCATTTCCATGGGAACCTAAGTTCAAGCCTATGGAAGGGTCTTTACTTCACATTAAAATTCAGTGATCTGAAAAGGAGATTTCAAGAATGAAAAGCTTCTGCTGACTGCCTCCCTTTTTTCTGAGGGGTTAAGACGAACAGAATCAGACAAACAGAAGAGAAATGGAGAACTGTTCTTGATCTATTTATGTACTGACACAACCTGTGTCTGCTGAGATTTTTCTCCATGTGTGAAGTTTAGTATTTATCCTGAGATGTTTAATCTACCAATTTAATAGTTAAATTTATAGGAACATGTGATTGTTGAGAGCAAAAAGCTTTTTATTTATTAAAAAAGATTTAACTTTTTTCTTATGGTCTGAACTATTTGTTTGCCATAGAGTCAGCATATTTATGACTTTTTTCAACAGGAGTTAAATAGTATTTCAAACTTGATATGTGATGGTTGTCCCCACTTTTTGTGTTTTAGTTTGTTCTTAATTACATTTAGGTCTGGTGACGTAGAGAGCCATGGCAAAGCATTAAATCTGTTTTTTTCAAACCAGCATTTTTGATAGCTTTTCTGAAAACTTCAGATCATTATCTTGTTGACAGCACCATCTCATGGTAGGGAATGTTTTCTTCTCGTTTGATAGCATTGTGCTGTCTAAGATAACCATACTTCTATGGTCATCATACTGTCTGTATGAAAAACTCTGTCTATGTCATATTACAAAAAACAGCTTCTCAACATAAAGCTATCATTTCCACCTTTAATAATTTTCCTTGTGTATTTTCGATTATATGTATGGTGTTCAAGTAGACAAACATATTGTTTTCCATTCATTCCAAGCAAATTTAATTTTATTTCACCTCTTAAGATATATTTCTCTAACATTTCTTCAATTTCTCTGGTTAGTTTTTGATATGATACAATTTTGCAAATTGCATGCACTTTTTGCATTTTTTAAAACTGGAACCATTGTTGAATTTTGAAAATACAAGTTTTCATTCGCCGGTGTGAGGCAAATTCTTCTGTCACTTGATCAGTCTCACTGTGAAGCTCTTAGATGGACAAAAATGATTGCCCTTTTGATTTTCAGAGAAATAATATTTTCTTTCTTAAATTTGCTGTATGTAGGCATTCTTCTAAAGGATCATTTTTTGCTTGGATTAAATCTTTTTTGAGGAAATGATCACTTGTTTTGGTAATTATTCTGATTGATAATCACTCACTTCTATTTAGACTTAGAGTCACGTTTTAATTTTGCAAGGTGATAAATTCAAATTCAGTCTTTCCTTTCAAAGAAACAGGACAGCCTTGTTCAGCCCTTGAGCAGTGGTTAAGACAGTTGTGATTAGCAAACAAGCCAGATTAAAGTTGTAACGTCAGGTGCCATTATATATATATGTTTAAAAAAATGTGAAAGGGCTCAGATTTTAATGGTCGGCAAAAAGGGTTTGTTAAAGATTTTCAACGTTCTCACTGAGACCATAGTCTACCAGTCTGCTGTTGCATTCAATCTTGCTAACCCATTTCTTTTTATTTTTTTTTATCTTTATTATTAAGCATAATTTTCTTTTACACTTATGCTATATATATAATTTAATAGCAAAATTTAAAAAAAATTTTAAAAGCAGCATGTGTTTAGAATTCTTGGTGAAGTGTTAAGTGTTGGCTTAAAATTTTTAATTTTTTGGGTCCAGTCTTTTCTCAGTTTATCATATCAATGTAAAGGTTTCTTAGCAAGATGTTTCAAAAAACTTTTTGTCCTTTTATTAGTAACTTTTTATGTGTCAAGTTCATTAATTAAATCTCACGTTCTTTGCTTTTACGCCATGTAAAATTCAGTTGAATAGCAAAATCACAAAATATTTAAAAAATAGCATATCTTTAGAATTTCCGATGTATTGTCTCGTGAGCTGGAGATAGCAATGTTTAAATCCGTACAGTGCACTTTTTACTTTCAGATAAAAATTCATTAAATTTTTACAGAATTCAAAATTCAGGATTTCAGATGGACATATTCGGGTGAGGACTGCATTATTCAAAATTTGATGGCCTTAGGTATCGTTTTTTTCACAGTGTGAGAAACATACATATATTCATGCAGATTCTTTATTATTTAATTTCTTTGAAAGTAATACAAGGCGATAATATTTCGTGGCAACAATTTAAAAAGTGACTCAGACATTTAAAGTGATATGCCACAAAATCCTGTTTCGAGACTATCTATCCATCCATAGTCTATCCGCGCTAGCGCTCTTATGTGCCTTTAAAAAAAAAAAAAAAAAAAACAAAGAAAAGAAACTATATGGCTTAAACTATAGGAAAAACTGATTTAGGTTTAGGAAAGGACCTGTTTAGGTTCAGTTTAACTGAAATTATTGTGATGAATGTAAAAGTTTTTCAAGAAAGTCATAATTCACAGCTAAAGGAGTCTTGTGAGTAATTTTAGTAGAACTAAAAAGAAAAGATAATTGATCAACAATTATTTTTACTTTTAGAAGAGTTCTTTATTTCTCCTTTCCTGGCATGTTTTTAACATGAATTTCAATATACTTCTCTTCATATTTGAATGATAAGGAATTGCAAATTCTCTGAGATTTCAAATGTGAAATATAATTCTTAAGGTCTGAACAGTTGCTAAGGATGGATTTCAAGCAGCTATGTAATGCATAAAAAAATAAGTGTGGTTGGATGCCAAGTGAAATAAAATAATGCCAGGATACTAAGACATAACAAGGGTAATTTATTATTGTGCTCTGAAATCCAGAAAGTTTTGAAATGTGTTCAGGGAACAAAATGGTCACTTTGCACAACATTATCCAGCAGCTGTTGGGATAATTTATCCCATTCCTCTGTCAATGCACGGATGAGGCTGTTCTTGTTTATTGGAGGGCATTGTCAATCAGCAAGACTCCTACCCAAAGCACCCTAAACATTTTCAATAGGATTCAGATCTTGAGAGCATGCTGGCCATACCAGATGTTGAATATCCTCACTCTCTAGACACTCCTAGACAGCGACTGTTTGATGACATCTTGTGTTGTCATCATGAAAACAAATTTATCACTGACAGCACCACGGAACAGGCAAGCATGAAGCAGCAGAATATAATTAATGTATCATTGGCCGGCCATAGTCCCAGTTGGAAGCATATAGAGCAATGTACGACCATCACTTCAGCACATAACCATGGTACTACATGTAGGATATTTGTATGTTTGAAGATTTTATGCAGTACCACTCTCATGCTACATCAGTTATCATCCATAATCAGGTGAGAGACTGAACCTCTTTTCATCTGAGAATATACACAAGCCCAATCGTCATCCCTCCCATTGCGATGCTTGCAACACCATTGAAAATGGCTGGGATGGTGCCATTTAGACAATGGAATGCACACCACAGGACAGCAGGCATATAGTTCTCCTTGATGCAAACATCTGGCTATGGCTTTTTGGAACACTGGCTTGTCAGTAGCAGCAGGTAGCTGATTTGCTTCCTCAATAGCTGTGCTGCACTGGTTCCTTTTTGCCAATAATACTATGTATCTTCTGTAGACGTGGTACTGTGAACATGACCTCCCTCATGAAGTTTGCTACATTTGTCCTACATTCCATTTATTTGAAATGATTTCCAAAGCCTTGAAACAATACTGTGGGTATCATCAAACTCCCTAGCAACATTTATTTTTCGCCCTTCTTCAATCTTGCCAATAATATGACCACACATAACATCATCTAAGTGATATCAGGAAGACATACCAAAAATTTCAAACTTGTCAGTTGATTCTTTCCCATTAAATTTCGCTTTTGACCAAGAATGGTCAATACACATCAAATCCTGTATATTGGTTATCAGCATTATAATGTGACGAACAATTTCTGCAAGCCAAAATTTTCTTAAGTGTACAACACATCTTGCTGTATCTGCACTTATGCTAATTTCCACATTTTCCAGCCTTCCATTTTGTGGTTGCTATCACTGCTACTGTCATCCGTCCTTAGCAATTATCCACCAGTTTAGTTGGAAAGAAAGTAACCTGTGATATCAGAATGTCATCCTCCTTCCAGAAAACTAAAAGTTGGTTAAATTCCTTGTTCATTAGCTTTCTGCGTGATCAAACTTTGAAGCATTTTCATGAGCATCGCTTACATTTTTTAGTTTGTTTTAAGATGTCATTTCATATAGATATTTAGTATAACATGCATTTTCTTTTAAAAATATTTGAGACCTATGATTAAAAGTTTCAAACATTTTAGAAAGATTTTAATGTAACACTTCTGGTGTGATTTAATAAAATTTCACAATGAAAGGCATGTCACTATGAAGGTAGAAAAATATGTTATTGTGACAGAATCATTGATAAAATTATAGAGGGCCAGTACTTATTTTAAAGTTATATATTGTGCTATTGCATCATTTTTAGAATAGTTACTTGTTAATCTATTTTCTGTTCATATTTCTGGTTTTAAAAGTAAAGTTTATACTATGATGTGTTATGATTTTTTTATTTATTTTGGTCTTGGATTTTTTGGTCTTGGATTGTATATCCATAGATCTGTAGGAACCGCAGATCTGTTCTCCGTAGTTTCTACAGAAATTCCTGAAAAACTACGAGCTGCGAAAAATATGGGAAAAAAACTACAGATTTTACAGAAAGAGGGTAGAGGAACTAATACACAAAATGGAATCAAATAATTCATGTGATGATGATTGGCTGAATACTCATGTCATCTTGCATAAGGTGTTAAATGTGTTGCTGGCTTTGAAGAGTAGCCAAGCGTAGATAAGTAAACTTTTCCAACCTTTGATCTCTGTAATGTAATTCTCTCTGCACTCCCAGATTCTTTGCTGCAGTAAAGGGCTTGTTTAGCCTGCCTTGATTCTTTGTTTAGATTAAAGTGAAAGCGTAGCTATTGCATCTTTGTGAACTGGATTTAGCTGGAAGCTTTTTTATTAATTATGCTGTCTCAAATGAAGAAGCTAAAGTTATCGAAGCAGAAATTTAAAGATTCATATTCTTCAGAATTTCCATGAATTAAAGCAACCAAAATTTCTATGAATCGAAAACCAGTTAATAATTGATTAAAAATTAACAAATGGTTAATTAAAAAATGTGCCTTAAATGTGCATTCTCAAAGTTGTAAAAATGTTTTTTGCGCGTTGACTACTGACAAGTTTTGCTGTATCTTGGAGGAGGCTACATGTATCAGTATGAACAATAGATATTTTATTAAATGAAAAATTAAATTTTTTTCCTAGTCTTGTTTTTCTTAATTTTTATTCGAGACAAAAGTGTGTAAAAAGTATTTCAGATTAAGCATTTTGAATGATATTTTTATGTAGTGAAACAAGAAACATAATTTTTTTTGTATGTAAATTAAAAAAAAAAAAAAAAAAAAAAAAAAAAAAAAAAAATTAAATTTTTTAAAGCAATCCGTACTTGTATTATTTAAATGGAAGATTGGCAGTTGTTATGCAGCATATAAAAATAAACATTGTGTAATCTTTTTTATTTTTATTCTGTATATTCTGAAAATATATACATATGGTATTACAAAGTTTTTTGTAACCTTTGGCATTGTATACTCTAAGCATCATTATTTTTTAGCATATTGAAATAGTTTGGCATAGCAAATGAGGGCTTTTGCAAGTCGGAAGAGTGGGAAGTGAATATTTAAAATAAGGCCAATTCAACTTGATGTTTGTTTCATAAAAATATTTTGTGTATTTTAAAAGAATCATTTTCAACCAAGTTATTTTATTCCAATTTGGCAATAATTCATTGCTTAAATAAATATATGTAAATGTTTATATAATAGTCAAATATTAGAACTGATATAAACAAGAATATTTTAATAATTATTGTAATGCGCAAATATTTTGTGTACCAATGGGTTTATACTAAAGTTCAGACCTAATTGTCTACTGTTATGCTATTACTGGATGATAATAAATATTATGTAATCATAGGAAATAAAAAAAATTTGCTTACCAGTGCACGATAATATTTTGATGTATTTCTTATATGTCTGGGCTCAACTTATTGTTAAGGTGATGGGTTGCTTAACATTAAATAATATCATTTTTAAAAGAGTTTATTTATGTTATATTCTTGTATATTATTTTTATTATATATTAAAATTTTTATATTATATATCAATATATTAGATATATTAGATATTTTTATATTATATATTAGATATATTTTATATTATATATTAGTAGCATATATTTGAAAATACATAAAAATATTGGTATGTCTTCTAAATGCTTTATTTTATATGTATATTGTATAAAACTGATGGGAAAAATAATTTTAATTACTTATACCTGAGTTTCAAATTCGATCTAAATCACAATTGAATTTTTAGGTGATGGCAGCAAATCAGATATATCTGCTGTAATTCAAGGATATGTTGCAGAGATAGAAGCTCTTAGGTAATAAAAGAAGTGGTAGTACTATTTCTTTAATACCTGAGCTCATTTATGATGAAATATTTAATCTATAGTTTTGATTTCAGGTAACTTAATTTTGCAATGCCCTGTTGATATTTAATGTGCTTTGTAATTCAGCTTATATTTTACTGCTGAACAGATTAAAATATAGTTTTGGAATTTGTAAATATTGTTTGCTTTTTTCCTACCGATCATTTAATTTATTTTGTTGTAATGATTATATGTAGGGCTTTAAAATTTTTCATTTCTCCTAACTTGTAAAATTTTTAATGACTTAAATATGAATTTTTTCCCTTCCTTTAAATAATATGATATCTAATTTTAAATTATAAATACTTAAAATACCATAATATAATTTTTCCAATAATTTTTTTCCATGTTATATTTAATTTTTATCTTTTTGTGCTTGTTTAGGGCAAAACTTATTGAATCTGAAGAAGCATATGCTTTATTGCGTAAAAGTGTTATGAAAGTCTCTCCTCAACGTTATGCATTCAGTCCTACATCTACAGTGGCAGTTACTGGTCAGTATGATATAAGAATTGATGCAACACAGTCTGTTACTGAAATTCTGGAAGAGGCTAAAAGAAACGTCAAGAAATTGAAGCAGAAAGAAAAGAAATTAAAAGGGTATTATTCAGAATTGTATATTACTTTTTTTCTGTTTTATGATTTTGAGTGTATAGAAGTACGATTTTAGAGTTTTGCCATACAATTTCTCTAAAATATGGGAAGCATCCATTTATTCTTGAATGTTTTATAATTTATGCATTTCATGCCATAGGATAAATATATATGAGATTTTGATTTTGTATTATTGAAATTAATGCTCCCTTCCCGAATTCAGTATTCACAAAAATAAGTGGAAGTTAAAATTAGCTTTATTTCAAATTTTTGGAATTTTTTAAAATTTCAGTCAGTATAGATGATTAAAAATGTCACTTATCTTTTTTTCCTCAATTGAGTTTAACTTGAAGCAAAAGCTGTTCTAGTATGAGGACTGATAATTACAGTTTCACTGACGGTTTTATGTATTGCTTCATTTTAGGGAAAAGGAGTGTGTGAGTGATGAAGATAAGGACAAAGTTGACGATGAGGTAAGTCGCTATTTTTGGATTAATCAAGCATAACATTTTGTGCTAAACTTGCTTTAAATATATTTTTTAAGGTTTGATTTGAGCTGAAATATATTAATCAAGTTATATTAAGTGGCATATTTGCTTTAATGATCAAATTACACCAATATTGTTTTACACAAAGATCTATATATTTTTGATTTAGTGCTCCCTTTTTCATGATAATAAATAAATATTGAATGTGTGTAATAAGGGAGAAAATTAGGTAATTTTTATGGCTTTAAAAGATTTCTTAGAAGCCAAAGTGCTAACATTCAGATGCTGCAAACTTAAAAAACAATATTCACTAAATTTAGTGGCTACTATCTATAGTTAAAAAAAATGTATGCAATCTTAATAGATTAATGTTAAACATCTTTAAACTTTTTTTAGTAATTTACACGGAAATATATTTTCTTAATATCTATTAATTCTGTTTATATTATATTCCAGAATAATAATGAGGATAATGAAGATGAAAACAGTTCTTCTGAATCTGAGACAGAAAAGCCTGATGTAAAAGGTAAATAAAATGATTAATTTAAATCTTAAAAATAATTTGTATATATTTAGAGACTTGCACAACTTGTTTTCTTTCATTTTTTGTTCATTATTTATTATTAAAACTTTTATTTTTATTTAATTAATAACTTAATTTTTTTCATCTGCTTATTTCATGATTATTAAAATTTTAAACTTATTTTCCAAATATAGTACAGTCAAATACTGAACATCCGCCGACCTGAAATCCGCCAACTCATGAAATTCACTTTGCCTCTCAAAATATAAACATTCAGTTTATAGGTTCCGGAAACCGCAATATTGAATATGAAATATCGAAGAAAAAATACTTACCGAATGATGACGTCATAAATACTGAATAATAATGAGTCATAACGGAAATACCAAGTTATTTACATCATGATAAATGTTCTCCCCACCTCTAATCTGCATCGAGGTAAAAAAAGCAGACAATTCACTCAACTCTTCTTTCAAGTTCACTATTCACTTTGTATTTTCTAAGCTTTGTTATTTCATGAGATTATTTAGTGCTGCCTTTTTTTTTTCTTTAATCCGGATATTTTGTGGATATTAAGAAGAATTAAGAATATTTTAAATTTCAGCCCTTTTTAAAGCAATGACAGATAAGAAACGCATTCATGATTTTACTACTTGCAACGTTGAAAAACGTAAACTCGTTACGTTGACAGTAATGTAAAAAGTGCAAATTCTGCAAAAGATGGAGGCAGGTGCTACTCCTAGGTTTATAGCAGAATCGTATGGAATTGAGACACGATTGTGTATGATATATGGAAAAATAAAGAAAAGCTGTAGAAATTTTACAGCAACAGTGATTCTAACACCGGAATCCGAAACCGGAAATCTTTGCATGAGAAATCGGCAAACCTCAGTGCTGTGTACATATAATACAATGAATAATATATAATCGATTTACATATGTAATAATAATTTAATGCATATAATAAGTTATTGCAATAATATATATAATAATTTAATTAAAATTTAAACAAATAATTAAATTTAAATTTTAACAAACACGTATAAAAGTAAAAAAGCAAAATTAAAGCCAAAATTAAATTTAAAGCCAAAATAATTTTTAAAAAAACATTGTGCAAACATATAAAAGATTTAATTCTCGAACTAATCTACAATATCATTTAAATTCAGAAGTATAAGCAAATCAAGTGCAAAAACAATCCATGAAAATAAATTCAATAATTTAGCAAATTAAAATTAATTCAAACAATTTTTTAAAAAATGCATAAGTGAATGACTGTTGAGCAGGCAGGAGAGAGACTTATCAAGGGGAAGTTGCCTCCAAACCTATCTCTCCAATCATTCAATTCATGTTTCGTCATTCATGTAGGCAAGGGTAAAAGTTAAAACCAAAAGTAAAAAAGGGATGAATGTCCAAAAAGAAATACTAATAAAGTGGTACCCTTATAAATTAGCATTTAAGAATTAAAGTTCTAAAAGAAAAAAAAATTAAAGAATTCTTTTGATAAACAAGCAAGTAAAGTCAAGTATTAAACTTTTTTTTTAAATAATAAAAAAAAAAAAATTAAAATTTTTTAAAAAATTTATTAAATTTGTATTTATTTAATTAAATTCAATTTTATTCTTATGTAATTATTTAATTAAATGTATCTAATATGCCTTATTTATTTTGCACTTTTAGCCTGAATATTATGATTTATCTTTCCTGTCTTGAAACAGCAAAATTTTAAAATCCACATAACCTCTGGTCCCAAGCTTTGCGGATTTCTGCACTTTTACTATATCTCTTTTAGGTACACATGTAAAGTACTAATAAGTAATAGTAAGCCAAAGTGCTCAACCTTTTTGTCAACAGGAGCTGCACTTTTTTCCTGCAGTGATATTGCTATATACAATGCACAGAAAAGATATAAAATAACAATCTTACAATGCTGTAGGAGTTTATTTTAATTTTCTAATAGCTATTTCTGAGGTAAAGGAAAGGTTTCAGGAGAAGCCTTTCCTTTACTCTCATTCCCCACCTATGTGTCTCTGCCAGAATGTGTTTTTAGGATTACATTTTATGCAAGTGAGGTTGAAACCATTATTTAAACTGAAGTCTGGATCACTTTGCTAGGGGAGCCTAGTAGAACATAGAAGAGTTAAAAGAGTGTGTTCTGACATGCTGTTGCTAATAATAGTCTAATTTTACTACTATTCGGGCATATTGTTACGTGCCTGCTAATATCCACTGGTGATCTTAAATAAGCATTAAGTCTGTTAGTTAATTCTCTGCAGCTTTGGCTGGTTTTATTTTAGTTAGTATTAGATTATTTTCTTGCCCGAATGGAGGCTTATTGTAAACCCGAGAATGGGCCATCTGTTCATTCATTTTGAGTTTGGATAAAGGGTAAATTTAACCCCTCTTTGGTTTTTCACTGAATAGAACTGTGGGATAAGTCACTACACAGTACTTCAATGTTCTAGCTCTGAAGGACTTCCAAATTAGCTAGAATCTTACAATGCAAGAGATGGATAACCTACAAGCGATTAAAAAGCACACTGAGATTAACCAGTTAGTCAGCCCTCTACTTTATTCACATAGTATTTATTACATTGCATTCTGTATTTCAACTTGAAATATTTTTAGAAAAGTGAAAATATTAATATCATAATTAGTTGAAGAATGAGGTGATAGAAATAAATAAGGAGATAAATCAGTCAGTCAGATGGTCATTTTTGTGAAACTGCCTAACTCATAACTTAAAAATTGAGTTTATTAAAAATACTCAATTTAAGATACTGTTATTTATTTAGAATAAAAAAAAATGGATGTGGAATGATCAGGTTTATTATGTTTTGTAAGGTTTTTTTTTTTGCATCAATTATTAATTTAGACTTAAATATAATCAAAGCAAAAATTTACTTAATTTGACTCAGATCAGAGTTTATCAACTGTATAATAGCCCTAAGCATATTTTATTCATCTGGCATCAGCATGCAGGGATGAATAAAGGTTTTTTTTCCCTGAACCTTTCTACTGATATTTCAAAGTGCATAGATAATGTCTTTTTTGTTTATATATATATATATCTTTTTATTTCAGAAAAACTGAGTGCGAATCTTGCTGAACTTACTTGTGACATATCATTGAAAGAAAAACTGATTCGGCAGCTAGAAGCAAACCAGAAGCATTTGCAGAATATGAAGCACCATTACGAAGGGAAAATTAGTCAGCTTTTGACTAAAATTGCTGAGACTGAAAAGGAGAGAGACAAAATTTTGGCCAATCTGGCAAGTAAGTAAATTTACAATCATACTTGTAAATGTCTTGCAAAGTGTGAAAAAATTGTTTTTCTTAGTATAGATTTCTTGCTTTAAAGACCAGTACTGTCAAACCAATGAAACATTTCCTGGGGACAACGACTTGTTTCTTGTGTATTACTTTCTTGTTTAACACTTTTTAAACAAGAAACTTAAACCATAAGAATATTATAAAGGGGACTATATAAAGTAAAAATTTTTTAAAGAAATTTAAGTAAATTCTTCTATTCCCTCTCCAATGCCTGGTACTTGCCTATAACAGCATTGGCCACTAGTAGCCATTTTGTTGTGACGGCACCTAGTAGGTGGCCACCATTACCTCCTATGAAGAGAAAGACAATTTTACATTTATGTCTTCTCCAAGATTTAAACCCGGGCCCTTCGGGATCACAGTCAGGCTTCCATAACCACTGTTCCATCTGGGCAGCAATTCTTCTAATTAATAGCAGCTGTTTTATTAGAAATCTAGTTTGGGGGGGGGCGTGATATTTTTTCAATCAAAAAATGAGTGTATTTCAAGAGAAATCATTAATTTCTGTTCATTAAGAGCAAAATTTATTATATTTGAGTACTTATATTTTAAATAATAAAGTTTATATAAGATTATATTTATTTATTTATTATTTTACCTGTCAGTCTTAAGTGCAGGCAACTAAAATACAAAATTTAGTATTGATTTAATTGACTTTATAGCTTAAATACAATTTGTAATTGTATTTAAGCTATAAAGTTATTCATTCAACTATGCTTGTGTATAAGCTTACGTATAACAATTTACAAACTAGAAAGTACTGTATGATATGTTGTAGATCTTATTTTTCAAAATCTTCTTGCAAAATAAAGTAACAGTTTATCTCCCTTTAAATAAAGTTAAAACATCTTAAAGATGCAGATCTTAAAGATTCTATTTCAATATCTTTAAGATTAGCATCTTAAAGATATTGAAATAGAAATTTTTAAATGTGTTTTTAATATTTCGAATGTATTCAGAATATAAATTAATTTAGAAATATCATTGATCTCTCTGAGATCATGATATGCACATTTCATTTCTCTGAGATCAATAATCATCTTCATTTTCATTTTATTTATTTAGTTTTCCTTCAAACACAGAATCATGATCACTTTTAACAACAGTAGCCCTTTTCCCCCCTCATAATACTCAGTATTTTTATCTAAACTACATGCAAATGCATTTTAGGATGATTATTTTTTTTAATGCTGTAAATTACTAATTAGATAGGCAAAATAAAAATAAGTTCCTAAAGATCCCCCAAATTTGCTCCATTGTTAAGTATGGTGGCAAGCATAAATGCTTTTAATGCTGATCGACCTGTTTGCATTCTGAATAGAGAATGGATATTTGTATTATACTTTTTTTCTTTTATCGGCGAGCTGGATTTACATGATTAGTGATGAACGACTGCAATAAAATTTGTGTTCTCATGTCAGTTATTCTGTTTTTTCCTACTACATATCTAATTGATAAGTTAGCGAAGTTAGAGCTGAAATTTGCTGAGTGAATGGATAAATAATCACGTCTATAAAATATGAAGAAACAGTTAAGTTTTTAAAATTTGTAATATTTAATATAAAATGAAATAAATATTGAAATACTTCTACATATATGTCCAGAACTTAAGGATTAGCAACATTTGTTTGCATACAGAGAACTGTACTGTATATGAATGGGGAGACATATGAAAATTATTTATTTGTGGTTATCTGATGCAAGATAATGACCTTATCTGACCTTAGTGGAAATTGCAAATCAAAGAAATCAAAACTTTTTACAGAGAAGTTATATATATGAGTCAAGAGTAATGAGTTAATAAGTACATGAAAATGATGTGAACCAAGTGATGTATGAAACCCTGGAGCAGGTTATTCCATTTTGTTATTTAGAGCATGGATTAGGCTTTGCTTCTTTTCTGGTGAGGGACTGCAAGCTGCTACAGTACAAAGTCCGTAATCCAAGTGATGTATGAAACCCTGGAGCAGATTATTCCATTTTGTTATTTAGAGCATGGATTAGGCTTTGCTTCTTTTCTGGTGAGGGACTGCGTAATCCATTACGAACTTTGTACTGTAGCAGCTTGCAGTCCCTCACCAGAAAAGAAGCAAAGCCTAATCCATGCTCTAAATAACAAAATGGAATAATCTGCTCCAGGGTTTCATACATCACTTGGTTCACATCATTTTGTCGGGACTGTCATCATTTTGTCGGTCACATCATTTTGTCGGGACTTGTCAGGACTTCCACGATTCTGAATTAGGGGTTTTTCTGGATTATAGATAATCGATTTAAATCTGGTAAGATGGCATGCATAAATTATACAGTTAATAATATGAAACTGTAATTCATGAAATAAAGAGCAATTATGATCTAAAGGGTATCAAAATTTACAAAAAAAAAAAAAAAAAAAAAGCTTAATATTTACCTCTCTGTCACTTTCTTCACTATCGGAAGCTGTATCTTTCAATGTAAGTTGCTTCGTTTTTTTTGTGAACCATACTACTTTAGATTGTTTAAATAAACAGACATAATTGTTCAGTTACAAAGTTCCACTGTACAAGTCCTGTAATTTCTGTGTTGAGATTACCGACTAACTTGTCAATCGAAATTTTTTCGTTTTCAATAACCTCTCTGTCACTTTCTTCACTATTGGAAGCAGTATTTTCTGGATCTAGAACCATACTACAGATTTCGCCGTCCATTAATTGATTGATGATTGGGGCATTATTGTCACAATGAAAAACTTTTGTTATATGATCTTCATTTAATATTGCTTCTCCACATTTCTTTACAAAATCCAATAACTGGAAAATTTCACCTTTGGTTTGCGATGTCCGAAAACCTTCAAATTCATGGCTATCGTCTTCATTGTCCTCACCATGAAATATGGTAGCTAGACATAAATTATGCCAAGTATTTTTTAACATATCTGGAAACACATCCTTGCAACGCGCATGCGTAGCGCATACAAAAAAAAAAAAAAGTTTGTGTCTTTGAGGTCCGCATTATAGATCATTCCGAATTACAGATATTGTACCGTATTTGTTTTCTCTTAATATTATGTATGTACCTAATGACGCTGAGGTCTGGAGAATATGAAGGTCAGTCATTTAATAGACATACCCACTCTTCAGGAGATTTCTTTATTCAGGTTTGTTGTGGCATGGCTTTATCATCCATAAAAAGAAATACTTTGTCGACAATATCATAGAACAAGTATCCATGGTGTTCAGTAACCTTTTTACAATTGAAAATCGCAGGCTATTGTCCAACACCTGTAACTATCCATCAGTCCTGATGCTGCCTCTTATTATAATGCCATGATAATAATTTCTTTTTAATATACCTTCCTGCTTACAGCTTGCCCCTTTCATACCAGATGAACTGACATGTGAATTCGCTCTGGATAACATGAGATTGCTGCATTGATTAATTTGGGTGGATCCGGCATTTTTGCAAATGCATTTTATTGTCTTCTCTCATTGGTACCAAACAGATGATTGGTCTCATAGTATGTAATTGTATGTAATTCAGATGGAGTTGCAATTTACAAAATATCTTCTTTTCTGTGTGTAATACTTATGAATTGGCTGTGTCTCAATAGTGTTTGGCTATTACCACTAAGTATTAATCTTCTTGTAAAGCCACAGAAGAAATATAACTTCTAGAATGCAATCCATTCATTTAAAATATTCTTCAAAGTCTGGAGATGAGGGCCGTAAAGTCAGTAGGGAAAATGACCGACTCCAACTCCCGGAATTTTAATGACTCCTTCATATATATGTAAACATGGGTACAGCTTATTTTTTTTTAATATGAAAGAAGTAGTAGATGCTACAGATAAGAATTGGTGCATAGCAAATTTTTTATATTAGCATTTATTATGAAATGGAAAAATTGGCATTAGTAGTTTCTAAAATACAGTAAAACTTCGGCAAAATTTTCTTTGTTAGAGGACCATAGATCCGATTTGATAAACTTCAGAATTGAGAAGAGTCTTTCCACATTGACCTGAGTAAGAAGGAAGAGCTGTTTACTGTTACGGCTACTTCTTTTAACTTTTCAGAATAGATTTTTATAAGTTCTAAAAGAAATGTCTTGCAAGAGCAATCATATTCCTCTGTTTCTTCAAAGGCCATGTGTAGAAATCTTGTGTGTATTTTTTCAGCTTTATATCTAAATGGTCTTCCTTGGTTTATTTTCATTCACTTTGTCTTAGCCTTTTCAATATTATCCAAATATTTCTCAAAATGATCATTGCAATTCACAGTGGAAGAGGATGATAGAGACTTCAATTGCAATGTCTGCAGTTTGACTGTCCTGGTTTGAATACTCCAGTTGTTCTGAGAATAATTTCATTCTTAATGAAAGTTCATAGATGGCTTTCTTTGCTTTATTAATTTGTTTGTCATCCAACAAAATTCGGTGTTTTGTATCTACATATATTAAACTCAGTGCGATCTTATTGTCTAGCAAACTAGTTTCTCTTTTCTTCATTGAAGAAATGATTCCTTCTGCAATAAACCCTCCATTTCAGAAAGAAGAAACACCGCATTCTTCCAGTCTTGCCTCTAGTTAATTCTTCAGATTATAGCTTTCTGGTGGCTATATATGTTATAGAAAGAAGAGTTTCCAATTCTGCAAGTTCATTCCACAGTCTTTCTGTTAGTGAAACGTTAAGGTTATTTACATCTTCTAACATTCTCGTCTCCTGTTAATTCTTCAGACTGTAGCTTTTTTGTAGCTATATATGGTGTTGAAAGAAGGATTTCCAGTTCTGCTAGATCATTCCACAGTCATTCTGTTAGCGAAACATTGGGATTATCAACTTCTAAAAAAGTTCTTAATTCTAAAAACTCTTTATCATCAAATATGTACTTCCTTATTGCGTTGCTTGATCAATAATTGCTCCTTTTCCTGCTCGCTTCCTAAGAGTGGCATCAATTTTAGGAGTTCTT